AATCCAGTAAAGCTTCAATGAAATTGCATGAGTGCTATATGAGGAGTTTTTCGCACAAATTTTTAAAATAAAAATCATTAAAGGGTTTGCAATATAACAAAATGTTTATAAAACATAGCAGTTACAAAATTAGAATCCAATAACTTATGAATGATCCTCATTAGTAAAAACATATGCTAATTTTTCATATTTGGTATTATTTATGTCTCTATGTACAAATGAAATTAGTAGTTTGATTTTACACAGAAAACATAATTGTTAATTTTAAAAATGTACACACTAGAGGTAAAAAAGAAGTGTATGAATATGTATGTTAATAGATAGAATAATCTTGCATTTTCTTTGCAAGAATTCAGCAATTTAACAAGACTTGTAATTATCGGAAATCACTTCCATTACATTATGTGCACTATTATCACTTTAGATAAAGTACAAATTTCTTAGATTTCAGTTAATTTGCTGCAATGAAATTAATATATTTCATGCCTTTCAGTAGACAGTGAAATAATTAGTTGCTATTTTCAACAGTGCATTTATGACTATATATGAATTCAGATGAAAATATTAAATATAAAGTAAATTGAATTATGGACAGAAATAAATATAGGATATTTAGGTTTTTTCTATAAATACAGGATTTATTTTCCTCGACAAGGTATGAAAATAAATATTTCACGAGTGGCAGTAGCCACGAGTGAAATATGATAATTTTCATACCACAAGATGAAAATAAGTCCTGTATTTGTAGAAAAAACATTTTATGAGCATTTTATTTCATCAATATTTTTCAATATTTCATTTATAAGAGTGTAATAAATTGCCATATTTAAATTTTGCTTCTTTTTGGGAAATAATAACTGCATAATTATGTCGTGTTAAAAATGTAAAAATTGTCAAGAAATTTTGCAAAATTACATGTTAACATTAATATTGTGACATCATGATTTAATGAGGGTGTGAAAAATAATGCATGACATTAGACGGCATATGTCAGTAAAAAATGACTTAAGATCACTAACTGAAACATGAAATAAATAGGAAATTTGTTTTTGGCAAGATTGAGAGATATATTTCACTTGTAAACTGGAATGAAATGTCAGTGTTAAGCATTGTCAGTGTATCAAAAGGGAAATTACCTTTCAAAAATAAGTTGCTGCAACATAGTCTCTGTACCTCAAACCATCCTGAGGACCACTTTGCACTATAGTTTGAGGTTGATTTTGACCATTATGCAAAATATCTAATGGCATTGGAATATTTCTGGATTTGCATAAATTGTGCAATACTCCACAACATATAATCAGCCTGTAATAATCAAGTAAAATGTTATTATCTACTCAAGATTACTATATGGATTTGTTGTTTTTTTTATGTAAGAGTCATTGTTAAAATAATCATTTTTTATCTTATGAAGTAATATTGTCTAAAAAACATGTACGAATTATTGATGTATAAGAAGTTAACATGTTTATTAACATGTAGTAAGAACAGGTTTATAAGAAGTTAAAGTACTTACTTGCATACTTTCTCTGGATTCATTTTAATCTCGGAATGTAAGACACCCCAGCGCCTTTTCAGTTGGCCAATGCCTCTCTCAACTTTGGCTCTTGTTGATTTATGTGCCCTGAAACAATTTTTTTTTTTTTCCATCTTACAATTATTAAAAACAGATTTTTTGTTAAATATATTACTTACTGTTTAATAATTTTACCTGAGACTATATGTATATATTCATGAATTAATTAATAAACTTTACATGCTCAATATTTTGTACAAGAATAGAAGTAAAATGTGATAGAAATTTTACAGCATTATGTCACTGACTCATAATGAAAAAATTTACAAGCATAATAATTATGTAATTAGTTGTTATTTATATAAAACATAACTGTCAAGATATATAATTTATCAGGTTCTTCTATATATACTTTATTAAGTAACTGCACCTGTTATACTGATTTTGTGATCCTGGCTGGGGATTAAGGTAAGATAGTGGTCACCTGGTGGAAAATGACCCGCACCACCTTCCATTAATCCCCAAACACCACTCTCCCTCAAAATTCAGCTGTCGTGGACAGATCCCGGCCATCTTGCCACCATATCTATTATTCGATCATTGGGATCAAAAACAACCTGAAAATTAGCATTGGAGGTTTCTTATTTTTGTAAACAGCTATGAAGTGCTAACAAGGATAGGAAAATTATCAAATTTTTTGATATCGTCTATTGATTTTTGGTTTGCTTGATTAATATTAAAATATTTTATAATGATATAAAGGATGAGCAAATTAACTGTTTATTATGCCCCCTTTCGAAGAAGAGGGGGTATATTGTTTTGCTACTGTCGGTAGGTCTGTCCCTTTGTAGACTGCATGGTTTCCGCTGATTTTTATGCTCCCCGAAAAATTTCGGGGGAGCATATAGTCGCCGCCTTGTCCGTCCATCCGCCCGTCTTTCCGTCTGTCTGTCCGTCCGTCCCCTTTTCTTGTCCGGGACATAACTTTGAAACAACAAGAGGTATCAACATGAAACTTTGTAGGTAGATAGATCTCATTGAGTAGGTGTGCAGTGCACAAGAACCGTAACTCTGCCTTGCCTAATTTTTGAATTATCCCCCTTTGTTTATTTTACACTTTGAACTTTGTCCAGGACATAACTCTAAAACTATAATAGGTATCAACATGAAACTTTGTAGGTAGATAGATCTTTTTGATTAGGTGTGCAGTGAACAAGAACCTTAACTCTGCCTTGCCTAATTTTTGAATTATCCCCCTTTGTTTATTTTTACACTTTGAACTTTGTCCGGGACTTAACTCTAAATGTATAAGAGATATCAACATGAAACTTTGTAGATAGATAGATCTCATTGAATAAGTTTGCAGTGCACAAGAACTGAAACACTGTCTTGCCTACTTTTGGAGTTATTGCCCTTTGTTCATTTTGACACTTTGAACTTTGTCCGGGACATTACTCTAAAATTATAAGAGATATCAACATGAAACTTTGTAGATAAATAGGTCTCATTGGGTGGAAGTGCAGTGCTTAAGAATCATTACTCTGCCTTGCCTTATTTTGAAGTAATTGCCCTTTGTTTATTTTTACTTTTTAACTTTTGTCTGTGACATAACTTTAAAACTATTAGAGATATCAACATGAAACTTTGTAGGTAGCTAGATATAATTGGATAGAACTGCAATGCTTAAAGAACCTAAACAAAACCTGGTCTAATTTTGGAGTTATTGCCCTTTGTTCATTTTTACACTTTGAATTTTACCTGGGACATAACTCTGATATCATCAGGAAACTTTATAGATAGATAGATCTCATTGAATAGAAGTGCAGTGCAAAAAATCATAACTCCGCTGTGCCTAATTTTGGAGTTTTTTGCCCTTTGTTCATTTTTTTTATACTTTCCTGTGTCCAGAACCTTCTCGGGGAGCATCACGCGGTTCAACCGGTTCTTGTTTTAAAAACTATTTATCACAAAGACTTCATATTTCACATACTGATTGGTCATTACTACTAGATGTCCTCAATTGATATTGGGATCACTATGTCAAAGGTCAAGCTCTTTATATTTCACATATTGATTGGTTAGTAGGTCATTTTTTCCCGTAACTGAATGCTTCCATGTACCCATTTATGGCAAGTTTCTATAACGCAATTAGCAATAATGCGAGTCAAGGGCTAGAAAGGGGGCATATGTGTTGTTTCAACATTTCTTGTTCAACAAGCAATTATCATAGTATTGCAAGCAATCCATAAGTCCCCTACCGGTAAGAGCCCAAGCAACATTCTGAAGGGCCATTGGCCATTCACTTAGGTTCCTATTTTAAGTAAATTTGTTGAAAAAGTTCTTTAAAAGTGATCACAGGAAACAGTTTTTATGTACAGACAGACGGACTGAAGGACACTCTAAAGTTATTTTTTAAACATCCCTGTTATCAAAATATAACATTTTTAAAATCCTATCATGATTGAAGAAGTTGGAGTAAAAATTACCAATTTCTCAAAAAAAAGTCTAAGTTCAAAAGGGGCATAATTCTGGAAATAGTCTTGCTAGAGTATTGAACACTCACAAATGTTGAGTGATAATAAGAAACATTTATATGAAGTAGATACATTCAGAAAAAGAAGTTATTAAAAAAAAACAATGTTTTTTTCATGAAAATTTTAAGTTTAAGGGAGGTAATTCTGATAAATTTTATGCTAGAGTTGTAAACCTTGTCACATATGATGTGGTTGATGACAAGCAACTTATATTTAAAGTTTGAAGAAAATACCTTAAGAAATAAAGAACTTAAAGTGAAAAAACTTAAAAACTAGAATCAGAAATCTTGAAATTCAGTCTATTTGTTGCCATAGCAACCAGAATTTTCAACATAGGAAGATAAAAAAGGATGTGCATAATTTCCATACTGCCATCTACCCATATGTCAAGTTTCATAAACATATTTTCAGTACTTTTTGTGTTATCACTGGATCCAGGTTATGTGTAAAATTTGCCATATTTTCAGTCTATTTGTTGCCATAGCAACCAGAATTTTCAACATAGGAAGAAAAGAAAAAGACGTGCATAATCTTCTTACTGCCATCTATCCATATATCAAGTTTCATAAAAATATTTTCAGTACTTTTTGCGTTATCGCGGGATCCAGGTTAAGTGTAAAATTTGCCATATTTTCAGTCTATTTGTTGCCATAGCAACCAGAATTTTCAACATAGGAAGAAAAGAAAAAGACGTGCATAATCTCCATACTGCCATCTATCCATATATCAAGTTTCATTAAAATATTTTCAGTACTTTTTGCGTTATCGCGGGATCCAGTTTTGTGGACGGACTGACGGACGGACAGACGGACGGAGGGTAAACCTAATGTCCCCTCCGGTAAACCGGTAGGGGACTAATAATTATTGCACTAAAAATGCTCACATGAATTATCAAGATTATAGTCCCTGCATATTTATCTGACAATTGTTAAGACCACAGAAGGCATGATTTAAACAATCTTGGTAGAACTAAGTAATTGTACCTGAGTATTGATGCTATGATAATTCATTCTGTTAACATACACCTCTTCAATCTCTGTTGGTGCTTGAAGTTGCACGTGAGTGCCATCGATAACACCAAACACATTGGGAAAGCTGGCTGTCCCATAAAATTCCCTTTCAAAATCTTGTAATTCTTGTTGTGTTTTGGGAAATTTTATGTATCTTTGTACAATATGAGGTCTACTCAATGCATGTATTACTTGTGAGATACATCTTGTCACTGATGGCTGTGATATGACATGTATGTCTCCATCATTCAATTGAATCTCTCCAGATGCAAAGTATCTTAAAGCAATTTTTACTTTCTGCAAAGGTGTGATGGCATTTTTCTTCAGGGTTTTTGGCTGCAGATCTTCTCTAAGCAGTTCAGTAAGAAACATAATGCCATCCTTGTCTAACCGGTATCTGCTGATCACTTCCTGATTTGTCAAATCTCCAAATTCAGCCATTTTTCTACAGTTATCAAGAAAATAAAAATTATACAAATTCAATTGTGTTTTTTATTCTCAAACATGTAGTTACCAAGCTTAAACATTACATTATTTGACTGTTTATTTTAAGTTAAAATTAAAAGCCATAAATGTAATAAAATGTAATACTCTTAATGGCATGATTACCTTTTAGTAATGTAAATATCAATCATATAACTTGAACATTTGTTGCCACATTATTTAAGTCATATAGGCGGGTAGTTTCTTAACCATCATATCTGGAGAGTTACACCAGTACTAGACTACCCTTCCTCCGTGCTAAACTACCAAAGCATCTCCCGGAGGTCGAACCCACACCAGAGAGGTAACTGGATTAGAAGTCATCGACTCTAACCCCTCGACCACGGAAGGGGCATTATCAAGTTTTTGTCTAAGTTTTTCTAAGGAGGCCACGAGTCATGAATTTTCTGCCACTGTGATTTTTACTGAAAGTGCCCAAATCATGGAGAGAGAAGGGTCATTTGACCCCCTACACCCCTCCTATGGATCCATGCATAAATCTCCTAGTGCCCAACTGATTACAGCAATGAGATGATTCATTACTACATGTACATGCTTTTCAGTTGACTGTGAAATTATATTTGATATTTTCACAGGAAAATATCAAATATATTTTTCAATGGGAATGTGAATGAAAAGAATAATTATATCATAATTGAATGGAAGCACACACACATACATATAAAGCTCTTAGATAGTGATGTCATAGTTTTGTTATTACACTTATGGCCATATTTCAGTTGATATATATGACAGTGTCATGATATTTAAATAGTTTTAGTTACTACAAGTATATTAAAGTTATGACCTTAAAGATAATTTTCAAGTAAATACCTTAGCAAAAAAGTAGCTATTTTATCTTCAAAAAAGTTCATAATTCAGTCCAAATCATGCCAAAGTTATGGGCTTTAGATAGTGACCGTAGATGATATGTATTACAAAGGAGCAACTTATTACATTCCTAAAATTTCCTTATACAAGATCCATTTTTCAGAAATACATACGAGCCGCGTCATGACAAAACCAACATAATGGGTTTGCGACCAGCATGGATCCAGACCAGACTGCGCATCCACAGTCTGGTCAGGATCCATGCTGTTCGCTATCAGTTTCTCTACTTGTAATAGAGTTGGTAAGCGAACAGCATGGATCCTGATCAGACTGCGCGGATGCGCAGGCTGGTCTGGATCCATGCTGGTCGCAAACCCATTATGTTGGTTTTGTCGTGACACGGCTCATATCAATCCTCAAACTTGGTATGCTCATTTATAGACAGAATGTTACAGAAAGGTAATCATGAAATTTTTCAGACTAATTTATGCACATGTTTCAATTCTTATCATTTCTGTTGAAGTTAATTTTGAAAAACAAAGATGTATTCACTATAAACTTAATGTAATTATTAACATAACAAGAGTCTCATTCAAGCATGTCTAACAATTTTTTATTTTTACTTTGCTAAAAGTAAACAAAAAGTTTAAACAAAACTTTAGATAACAAGAGCTGTCGATGGGAATAGCACACTCAAATATTCTTAGTGCCTGACAGTAAAAAAGCCTTGATTATGTCAAAGTTCACAAGAGAAGCAAAAAAAATAATTAAAATACATGTTACAGTAAAGGGCCATTGAGAGAGTCCCATTATGCTTTCAAAGAAGTGTATAAAATTTCAACTTGTTTCAAAGCCAGAATCTGATGTCAATGGACTTGAAAATAATGGAAAATATTTGAGGTGGTTCGCAAACAAATGATCAATATTAAAGTTTGCGGACGGCAATAGGAACTCGAACATGACTGTAACAATACCTTTATTTTTTTTTCTTCAAAAAGAAGTTGCGCTAAAAAATGAATATAAGATGCCAGGCATAATACCTTGGAATTAATTTATTTGCAACTTTTTGATACTGATTTTTTCAAAAATCTTTTTATTAAAGCAGCATGTCTCCAGATTTATGATAATTTTCATAAATATTTTGAAAATGAAATTAAATGCATAGTATTGTATAGTAACCAAAAAGAAGCAATTTACACATTACCAATGGCACTTACAACCCACGTTAATAACAAAAAGAGGTCAAGATATGCAAAACATTTCCTGACTGTGTTAGTAAAGCAGTAGAAGTATAGTTACACATTTGAAAAATCCACCATTAATCGCTCATAACATATAAAGTTATAGTTGAATCTTGAATCTTTCTAATTTTTCTTTAATCTTAGTACGTTTTTCACAAATTAGATATATGGAAATAGGTGTTCACTCATCTGGTGGCATGCTACTTTAAAGTAGATTCAACATATTTTCTTTTACTATGTAAAATTTTGCATAGTTAGAGTGAATTGAGAAAAGATAAACATTCTGATTATCCTTTTAATTTACTAATTGCTTTCTCTACAGTTAAAATTAAAGTAAGAAACATTACACATTATGCAGAAACAAAGCATGTTTCATCAGTCTTGGTTATTTTCAAAACAATACGACTAAAATAGATTGCATCAAGTTTATATAATTGATCAATGCACATGATATATTCATGTATATCAGACAAGATTTTCTAATGTCTACACTGTCTACACTGTCAAGTGAAATTTAATTTTTCACACCCGGTGTGGAAAAGTCTGGTAATTTCAAATGATGTCCTTCTAAGTATTGCTCTTTATCCAAGACATGCTGGCTTACAATGAAATTGGTCACCACGATAGTTAGCTATGGATCATCTGTGGTATTTCAAAGTTAGTATCTGTTGATGTGTTCCAGTGTCTTTCAATTCATTTCAAATCTTTAACTTCCCCATTAGTTTACATGTATAATGTTGTAATGACATGCATGTAAGTAACAACAGGAGATATTTCTAATTTTCCGGAAAGAATATTGAATATATACAGTCTCTACTTTTCACAGCTATTCCTTTGTTAATGTATTCTTTTATATGTTTGCTCCTTATCATCACAATGACCTATTGGATATAACACGGTATATACTGTCTTAATTTTCACTGTGATGAAACACTGTTATATTCGGCAGTATAAATTGATGTATCAATTGCAACATTCCAAAAATTGTTGTTATGAGATTCATTCCATGTTGTTGTCTATTCTATATTCCTTGTATGTTTTGACTGTCAATTCTGATAAATACGAACTCGGCACAAGCAGCTTGATCAGCTTCTGAAAAAAATATACAAAAAATGATAAATGTTATAGTTACATAAACCAACAAGAGCACCGCTAGGCAGAACATTATATGCCCTAATTAAGTGTTGGTTTTTTTTGTAAGGATGAAGCATTTGCAAGACATGGGAATTAGCTGTTCATCCTATATAAGATTTAACTGCTGTAGGGTGATTAATATACTTAAGTTATTGAGCGGAAACTGTTTTCAGTTTTAAGGTTATAGTGACATTGACCTTTGGCCTTGTGACCCTAAAATCAAAAGGGGTCTTCTACCCAATATGGACAATCATCCTAAGAAGTTTGAATATTGTGGGCCAAATGTACCTACTTAAGTTCTGCTCCAGAAACTGTTTTCAGTTTTAAGGTAATAGTGACCTTGTGACCCCAAAATCAATAACAGTCTGCAACCCAATATGCACAATCATCCTATGAACTTTGAATATTGTGGGTCAAATGGAACTGAAGTTATGCTCTAGAAACTGTTCTCAGTATTAAGGTAAAAGTGACCTTGACCTTTGACCTTGTGACCCCAAAATCAATAGGGGTCTTCTACCCAATATGGACAATCATCCTAAGAAGTTTGAATATTGTGGGCCAAATGGAACTTAAGTTATGGTCCAGAAACCAAATTGCTTAAAGATGGACGGACATACGGACATACTCACAAAATGGTACTTATGTGACTTTTCCTTTTATCTTTTTGGCCATTATTAGTCACACAAGGCTTAAAAAAAGACACACAAGTAAAAACGGAATGAATAGGATCAAAGAGAAATTACTGTTACCCATTGTTCTCAAAGTCACACAAGTACCTCTGGGTTCAAACGGACAGACAGACAGACGCCAGGGGGTATAACATAATATGCCCATATATTAGTGAATAGGATTCATATCCCCACTCAGATGCCCTTCATAGAAAAAGGGGAATAACTTTTGTAGCAATAAGATACATACAAAACTTAATTGTCCCTATGGAATGAAGAAACAGAGTTATGAAACTTGGCATGCCAATCCTGTATGTTTTCATCCATACCCATAAGAAATGTCATGTGGATATCTTATATCATTTTCAAAGTACATTTAATATTATAAATATTAGGCATTTAATTAGCTCTGTCAAAATTGAAAAAGGAGTACACTTCCAATACCTATATTGGATTCAAAGATATTCACATAAACATAAATTTCTAACCAATCCACTGCCAATTTGAGACAGAAGCAATGCTTGATTTTTTTTTCCTTTTTGAAGGCAAACAAAATCAAAGAAGCAAATAAAAATGAGAGTGAATGTTCAAAAATGTTGTTTTGTCCAAGTATGCTTAAAATAAATAAGTATAAAAGATATGCCAATATAAACAACATTTCATAAATTGACATTTGACAGTCAAGGGTCATAAATAAATTATCCTACATGCCCATTTGGTTAATATCATAGTTGTTTTGCCTATGTATATATCAAATCTGTATATACTGTTTTAATTGTAAATGACATGTATATAATAATTTAAGCAACATTGAATACTTTGAGCTTTACACACAAGGTCATTTAAAGGCCATAATCAGTTCAACTTTTCAGGCGCAATTTAGCTTAATATCAGGTATGGCAGCATTTATTTGTTGATGTTGCGTAAGAATCAAAATAATATATCCCGAACTGTGATTTTATTGCTCAATAAAATCACTGTTTGGAGTTTGGATTGAGAGGAATTATATCATGAGCCCATTGAGGGCTTAGCCCAAGTAATATAATGGTGCGCATCCGCACATCATACCAATATCTTTATAATA